GCTAGTTGATGAGGCCGCAAAGCACCGACTGGACATGAACTCGTGACAACGAAGCGTAAATGTTCTATAATTCGACTGGAGAATTAGGATTGTAGTAGCCGTGTTTAAGAAGTGGGACCATAGGGAGTTCTCCAATTTTCAGGACATTATCTTATTGAGGCTTTCGTCTAAAGTTTACGCAAAGATGTTAGAAAGAACGTGAAGTGGAATATTTGACTCTAAAATAAAATAAAAGCATTTTGGCGTAAGGTCAGGCAGAGGTACCTCTGACCCGATTTTCATCTTAGAAATCTTGAGAGGTCGCTCATCCAGTTTATTTGTGCTTTTTAGATTTTAAGAAGGCCTTTGACCGGATCCCGGGCAGCAAGCTCTCGATTTAGCTGCAGACATATGCTATAGATGGTCATTTATATGAGCATCCACTCACTATATGCTGATAGCGGGTGTTGCATCAGAGCAAACTGAGTTGCGTCGAGACTTCATTTTTGGCATTGGTCTGTTCCCTCTCCTTCTCTCCCCTGTCTTGTTGGTGTTATACACGGATAGAATAGTCTGGTACGACGACGAGTCTGTCAGGATAGGAGATGCAGAGACGTTGATGATTGCATAATGTCCTGTTGATATCTTCTGAAACTGATTTTCAGCGCTCTCCAAAAAAGTTAGCATCCGAGGGCGACGCGACCCGCATGCTTGTGAACATCTAAAACGAAAAGCTTAGTGCCTTCTCATTTTCCGCCCTTTGAGCTTTGCTGATAAACGGAGAATCAGTGGAACAGGTACAGATATTCAAGCTCCGCGAGGTAGTAATTTTTGGTAAAAATGGGAGTAAAAGATCGACCGGCGAATTGAAATGGCCAGCGGTGTTCTGCCTTTACTATCTTGAAGTGTTGTGGTTAAAGCAGAACAGAGCATGAAGACCAAGCTCTGTGTGTTCAAATCTATCTGCATCTGCGGTCATAAGTTGTGAGCCATGACGGGAAACTTTGATCTTGGCTGCAAGCCGCTGGAATGGACTTTCAAAGACGAATCACTGGCCTCATACGTCTCGACCTAGTCCAGAGTCGAGAAAATATTGGTGGACAGTCGCTGCTTCGCTGGATTGAGAAGTCACAAGTGCGATGGTTTGAACATATTGCACCAACCAACCATCTGAATTACTTGGGGCAGATGTATAGAAGAATTGCTCCGGACTCAGGTTATCTTCTGCCGAAGCTGAAACGGTGGCACAGGATCAGGAAAGTTGGAGTCATTCTCTGACGCGTCTGTTTCCGCGAGCCTAAAGAATGAACGATCGTCGAAACTGACTGACTTATTCTTCTGCTGTAATTGCACGACACTGTTGCTAGAAAGGGTATCAGATTCATGCCATCTAAAAGTTGCATCAACGATACTAGAAAAACTGTTGGAAAAACAGTTTTTTTGTGATTCAACTGATATTGAAAGTGATTGTTTACACACTGATTTATGATATATCCTAAATTCTGATCTATGGTATATAGTAAACATTATCTCTGAGAGCTGTTAATGATACCACCATCGAGCCGAAGAGAATGGTTTTGAAAATTATCCTGATAAGTACCGTTACTCTTTGTTAAGTTGCGATTAAACATGGCAAATTATACGTTTCTAAATGTCACAAATGTGAGAACAACATTTATTTTACTTCATCACATTTAGCTTCCATAGACGGATTATTTGCACAACGTTAAACAGAAAGCGAGGACTTTTTCAGCCTTCAAATCGTTGAAAGCATTCTGGAAAATCATTGGTTCCGATATTTGACTTCGCCACTTACAGCTGTTCAAGAACTAAATGCTAATGTATTTCAAGGTTATCTCGACCACTTGATAACAATCACTGGAGTCAATCTATTACGATAGCAAAGACACGTCGCTGGCAATCGTGCGTTAGGGTTCAATCTGTTCCTACATCAGTCCAAATTGTTGGAAGAACGCAGACAAGAAAACAATTGATGAGGCGGAGGATTAGATTTCTTGACTCCGACAGCAAAGCTTTCGGTATCCAACTGCACACTTACCTAAACCGTTGCATTATACGGCTTACCTATCTCTCTCGTGTTGGTAAGGCTTTCACTATAACCAGCTTCAATAAAATGCATCAT